GATATAGAAGAAGGCATGCGTGTTGGGTAAGTTCTCTGTTAGGCTTCAGGCATGAATTCTTGTTACTGTGCAAAGGGTATCACAGTTTACAATTTACCTAAAGTTCTATATCCTGTAAATAATTTATTTCGCTCTCTGCAGTTTTTTCGTTGCATCTTTTTGTAGCCTTTATAGCTTTCAAGGTAGATGTATATTTGCAATTTTTGGATTATTTGTTTGTTTCCACTACTAGGGAGCACATAGAAAACCGCAAGACAATGCTAATCATGGATTTTATTCATTTTGAACCACTGTTTGCTTTGTTTGTAACCTTTTTTCTCATTTAAACAAAGATTTAACCTTAATCATATAGTCAATTGCCACCAAGTTTTTTTTACACACATTCACTTCATTGTGGTGCTGGTGAGTTTCTTTTTTACTAAAAAAATCGCAGTAACAATTAATTGTCATGCTTTTATGATATTTCACTTTTACCTTTATTTTTCTTTTTGGAAGCAAACTTTGCTTTTACGTCCTTGTATGTTCTTATCTTTGGTTGTGTATAAACTTCTCGGTGGTCGACTGTTCTTATGCCTTTTGCAGGGTTGATCGCAATAAATATCAGATACAGATTCCTTTGCCTCCTAAAATTGACCCAAGTGTAACCATGATGACAGTGGAAGAGAAGCCTGATGTGACATATAATGATGTTGGAGGATGCAAGGAACAGATTGAAAAGATGCGAGAAGTATGTGTGATCTTTTTTATGTTAATATGTACAAGCAAACACATAGAAAGCTATTATTTGTTCTTCTATAGTAAGTTAGGATTAAAGTGTAACATGTATTGATCGACAAGTTTGGTTTTTAGGTCGTTGAGTTACCTATGCTCCATCCAGAGAAATTTGTCAAGCTTGGAATTGATCCTCCTAAGGGTGTTCTTTGCTATGGTTCTCCTGGAACTGGCAAGACACTTCTCGCAAGAGCTGTTGCGAATAGAACTGATGCTTGCTTCATTCGTGTTATCGGAAGTGAGCTTGTTCAGAAGTATGTTGGTGAAGGAGCTAGAATGGTTCGAGAACTGTTTCAGGTTATAACCTATAAAAGTTTGTTAGTTTAAGTTTTGAAGTTGCTATAGATTACTTTCCTTTGCCTTTATTAAGCAAAATGTTATCTGCTGCAGATGGCACGCTCAAAGAAAGCTTGCATTGTGTTCTTTGATGAAGTTGATGCTATCGGGGGTGCACGCTTTGATGATGGTGTGGGGGGAGACAATGAGGTTCAGCGTACTATGCTTGAGATTGTGAACCAGCTTGATGGCTTTGATGCTCGTGGAAACATTAAAGTCTTGATGGCAACAAACAGGTTAAAGTTGCAACCTATGTTTTCATTTTGTGAAGCAATCCAGCACTTTTTTTTAATCTTTACACCATTGCTACTAGGGCATAATCCAATAACCTTCAGAGAAGGTTTTATTTGATTAGTTATGCAAGTATTTGAATGTGCAGGAATATGATTTTGCCATTTGTCTTTCTTTTTTGGCAATTTTCAGGCCAGACACATTAGATCCTGCATTATTACGCCCTGGACGACTGGATCGTAAGATTGAGTTTGGTCTTCCTGATTTGGAGAGTCGGACACAGATATTCAAAATCCACACAAGAACAATGAACTGTGAGCGTGATATTAGATTTGAGCTTTTGGCCCGCCTTTGTCCTAATTCCACTGGCAAGTTTTTTCTGTTAAGCTTCTTGTTTTATTTGTTTTACTTGTCTCTGTTTTACTTGGGAGTGATCTCATGGGTTTAATTGGCAGGAGCTGACATAAGAAGCGTGTGCACGGAGGCTGGAATGTATGCCATTCGGGCTCGAAGGAAAACAGTGACGGAAAAAGACTTCCTTGATGCTGTCAACAAAGTTATCAAAGGTTATCAAAAGTTCAGTGCAACGCCCAAATACATGGTTTACAATTAATGAACTATGTTTTAGCTGTTCCCGCTTTCAAACCAAATGATGTGTACTTTTTTTTCCAACGTACTGGAATAGATTTTTGGTGCTGTTTTTACATGATTTTGTTTCAATGGGGATTTCGCATGTGCCTCTTTCGTGCTGCGTTTCTTTCTCGTGAGAAAAAATGAAAAAAATGGGGGTGGGGAGAGATTAATTCCCAAGTCACAACCCACCAAGACAGCGACAAGTAAAGCTGTGTTTTTGCTTAAAAAGACTCCCATCCCATGGAGAAATTATTTATTCTCCATTTTATGGACTACTCACAATGTTATTTGTGATCCTAATGAATGAGAGTTAAATTTTAAAATAATTACTAATTTTTTATTTACATGTAATAAAGATGTGAAGATTTACTTTGAAAAATAATGATATACACAAATATTATTAATTGAGATCATAGATGATGTGGTGAGTTAAGATCATCAAATAATTTCTTCATCCTCCTCGTCCCATGATTGAAATTAGGAAAGATAAAAAAAATTACAGCTTTATATGTTATAATTTCGTTTCACCTAGTGACTGCAGTCGAGCAATCAACCCTGCATATCAGGCCGTCTTGACAAACGTATACAGACATTTACGAGCACTGTAGTTTGCCATGGAGACTCCAAACCAAGATTTTAGTACGTCACTTTCAATAACTGTATCGCCTGTAAATTCAAGTTCCCAGTCCCATGGTTGGAGGATTACAAGGCAGATCAATAGAGCTAAAAATGAAGACAAGTACAGAAAGACACATCTGTGCTTCAAGTGCCAGTTATGAAAACAAGTTTTTGCCAATTGCAAATGTTAGCGTAAATTGCAAACGTTAAATATAGCTGATAATAGTGTATAGACTCCACAACGCAGGGGCAGTACCTAAGCCGATTCAAAGGTTGGACTCTCGCACGTAATACATAGCTCTTTATATTCAGGAAGCTCAGATGATCTGTGACTTAGTTTATGACATTTGTGAAGCTCCTTCAGCAACTTCAACAAGCCTACCATGGACCCACTTCTTAGTAACAGCAACTGCTTTAGAAGCCTTGTCTTGTCTTTCACCAGAGCTTTGGTTCCATTGATAATCCAATTTGTTTCCAACGGGTTGAGTTGCTTCGTTCAATCAGACTTCTTAATCAAATCATCCAACTTGAGAGTCGATAGACATAGGCTATAATTACTCGAGCTCGGAGTAGGTTCTTCATCACTGTCACCATTCAGTATCCTTGGGAGCATAAAGTTGGGGAAACTTAAGTCGTTTTTCTCACTTAATGAAAGGAAGTGGTTCCCATTCACTTCTTTCTTGTCTGCTTGGCTCAAACTACTGTTTTTCGACTGCATTGTTTTCTCAATCGGAATAACTGGTTCAGCTGAGTCAACAGAAACATATCCACCATTCTCATTGGATGTAACCCATCCTCCCTTTATCGATTCAATTGATTGAATTGCTTCTGCTATAAGCTTTCTGGTTTCGATGAGTGAGGCTCGAGCAACAGGGCTCTTCACTGCAGGAAGTTCAAGGGCTTTTGCAGCCTTCTCAGCATTGGTAATTAAAAGTCTGCAGTGATATATGTAATCATTGACTTATCCAGTGAACTGGCAAACTATTTTTTCTCATTGGTACCCAAAATGCACAAAGATGATGAATGGGAATGATTAAGGGGAGATCGTGTTATATGATGGGAGAATGTAAGCAAAGTCTAACCTTGCTCGTTCAACAGCCTCAGTTCTCTTCGATTCTTCAGCTGCTCTTTGTGCTCAGATGTTCTACAACATCTCAAGCTTGGAACTCACCATGACATCCTTATAAAGTGGTTTATATTTTCTTCGTAACCTCAACCGCTCGATTGGGGTTAGTTTCACTAATAGAAGAACAGCTTGTTTCATTAGCTTTCCTTTTGGAAGGGCTCTGCTTAGACTGTGTGCTAGCTGTCGGCTTCCTCTTTGGTTTTCTTTGAGCCCCTTCTGATATGCCATGAAATTACATCAAGCCAGAGCAAACTCTCTCACGATATTCCTATTTAGGAGATTAAAACCCACATTCAGATGCAAAGCTACAGCCTGCAAGGATATCTTATAAGCATTAAAATCAAAATGAAGTCACATCAGTTCTATTAATTCGATGTTAGGTACTCCCACAGTCCATAACAATTAAAGCACTTACAGGATCAGCCCATTTGGCTGCAATGGCTTCGGCAATTTTCCTTCTTTGTTCGGGTGATTTTGGTGCTCTCTTGCTACCTTTTGGTCTAGGTATCGTTTTCCTTTGTTCAACGCTTTCCAGCCATTCCTTAGTCAACTGCTCATCTAGCATCTTTACGAATCCCACTGTAGAACTTCCTCACCAATATAGCCTTCTCCGGAAGCTTCAGCAATCAAGTTCATTCGCTCAAAGTGGCAAGTTTCCTGCACCATTAACTTCTCACGGCGCCTTTCCCATCCCTTTCGTACTCAGGTTGCAATTTTTTCTCGTCTCCTGGTTGTAGGATAATCATGATTAAGGGAGTCAATGTAGATATTAACTAGGTAGAGAAAACCATAAATAACTTTCGGAAGTTTGACATATGGTAAACGAAAACATAAACACAAGATTTAGGACATATATAAGATGCTAAATGACTAGGAATCACAAGAATATTAGTACTATCGAAAAACCGAAACCCTGACCATAAAATACCCACCTCTGAGCATGTCCAAGGCTAACTTCATTCTAACCTGCATTTTGAAATTTTCATTAAAGAACACTGAAGCAACTATATATGATGATATGATAGCACCATTAATTGTTTATTTTTGGTTATTTGCTTAACTAGTATCCATAAACTAAATGGTCATTAGTCTATAATCCATCCATAATGGGATTATGTTGGTAAAAAGAACTGCTTGGACCAGTTATATTAATTCAAATATATACCAGATAATAACTTAATTGCTGGGAAAAAAATGGTTTACAGATGATTGGTTTCACTATATTCACCTAAAACATACAAAGTTCAATCCCTTTGATAACATAAAAAATTCTTACATGACATCCCCTTAGGGTTCTGCATAGCAAGCCTTGTTCTCTCCCTTATCAGCTGAAGTGTCTCTGCAGATAAAAAAAACATACATTTGTGTTACCATCCAAGAATGCACTAATTAAGACAGAAACAGGATGATTATGGAACCAATAGAGATTACCGGCACTGTGCTTCCTGCCTTTGTTCCATGGTGTGTTTCCTTTATTTGCTTTAGAAATTCTCCTCCGTCTTAACTTTTCTCTCTCATCCACTTCTTCATCTGAGTCACGGGGAATGAAGGGTTCAAGCTGAGTTGACGAAGGAGTCGAACCACAACCATGCTTTGACTTCTTGTGTTGATCTTCTTTTAGAACTGAGCACTTGGGTTCAAGGGTAGCAACAGCCTAATCTGCGGTCTTCCACTTGGATTCTCCAGTTTCACCACATGAAAATTTACTCTTTTAGGCAATTTCCATGGATTAGATGCGAGTTGACCATGAATAAGGATTTGAACCCTCACTGGAACCAGGGGGCTGTGCAATGAAGGTTGAGCGCTGGCAATATCTGTTCACGCAGTCAAGCACAGTAAGGGTGTTCACACTTAATTCTCATTAGAATCCGGTGAAGCAATTCACAAAAATCTCCGGAAGCAGAGCAACACAACGGAAAGAAAGTCAAACCAGTAAGAAAAAGTGTACCAAGTAAAGGCATGAATGCTCATTCAGACCAAAGAATCAAACTCGGGGCTTATACTCTTAGCAAATAACGTACTTGAGATGCCACATTTCAGCAACCCAAAAATATATTTTGTTGCCTTATCTTTCAATGGTGATGATATCAGATTAACACAAGCGTAAAGAGCCTGGGTCAGATAGGTCTAGGAATTTAGGTGCAGAGGAAAAAGTTGAAACAATGAGAAGCAGAGAGACGAGATACTTGTACTGCTACGACGATTTGCAGTCGGTTGGTTTGGATAACGTGTCCTGGTTCAGCCTTTCTGAAAACCCAGTATCTGTATTAAATGGCCTAATGATTTTGTGTCTTAGAAAGCCCCATGCCTACCCCATTAGCTACAATGGCTATGGTCCGTCTATTTTATGATGGCAAAACAGAAAGTAAAACACCAAATTTAACAGTGAAGTTTCTTTAAAAAAATATTTATTTTGACAAATTATAAATATAATCCTAATCTTTACTTAAAGAATAAGAAGAAAAAGAATTTTATGAAAAAAGAAAAAATACTTCTAGTGAATTTATAACTCAACCTAAAGAATATAAATGATTGAATGCATTATAAGCTAGAGGAAATTGAATGTTAAATATATTAAATCATATAAAATTTCATATATGAAATTGAAATTAATATTTATACTTTTGAATAATAAAATGATTATAAGATAATATTTATTTTGAATTTTTAATTACTAAAACCTTACATATAATCTTCACACATAACTGTTTGAGTATCGAATCTCTAAAAGAAATAATACCCTTTTAATCATTAAGATCGATCAATTTATTAAAAAATTATAATATTAAAAGTATACATAATTCATATATCAATCTATTATTTAACCATAGAAAACATCAAATAGTTTGAAGATATAAATGAAAATGACATTAAAACTAGAATACGTATTTTGAAAAAACTCAAATTATAATTAAAAAAAATCAGTCAAAAAGCACAGCCGGACGCCAGTAAGTGGAATCCTGTCAAAGTAGGTGTGTTGGTGCATTAGCAGTCATGGGCAACTTCCGAGTAAAGAAGTTTCCTTACAAAGTTGGTCATATTCTCTACGCACCTACTTTGATAGGATTCTACTTACTGGCTGTGGGTGAACACTTGGTCGCCGCCTGTGGTCAGTAGATAAGTTTCAACTAACCACTGTCGCCACTTGGCATTAATATCCAACTCTTACGGACACAATTTTGAATTTTCCAGGTGAGTTTCCCTTTCCAACAAGTTTCCTTTAACGATTGACCACATTGACTGCAGCAGGCAGACAACCATTTTTTGGTCTTCCATGAGACAGAATCCCTAATCTGACTCCAACCCACCACAAAAACCATTTTCTTTCCGACTCCTATTGAAAATGAAACAATCTTGCTTGAATTTGAAGCTTTGCAGACATACTCTGATAAAAATCCAATTCCGTCACTATGCTCACCCAAGATATGCTCCCAGTGCTCTTCACTTTCATGGATTTCCTAGTCGTCGACTGCCTCCGTGTTTACAAAAAATGGTGGTTTGGAGACACGAGAAGCGGCCGTGAAGTTGAATGCATGATTTGCCTTAGCAAGGTCTGTAAAGGGGAAAAGCTCCGGTCCTTGCCGGTACCACCATGGTTTTCATGTTCATTGCATTGATGCATGGCTCAAAGTTTGTCCCACTTGTCCTATCTGCAGGATTAACGTAGCGCCCTGGAGGAATTTTCTCTTTTCTTCCTTGCTTTCTTTTTCCAAAAGACTCTGAAATGGGTTAAAACCCCACTTTATTTGGATCTTAAATCAGCAGTTTGTGAGAGTTTTGGCTATATTTGATGAACTTAGGCGGCCTACCATGCAACAGTGTTTCCTTCTTTGATGGCTTCTTCTTAGATCGAGACAAGGCAATCTTGTTTTGTTGAGGTGTGTCGAGACAATAACGTATGATGCAGGGCTTAGGACAGAGTTGAAATTCTCTACCATTTTCAGTTTGAGTGTATGTATGGTATAATTAAATTGGGTTCGAACCATTGAGTAAAAGTTTTGAAAGATTTTGGGTATTTCGGATTTTTCTTTGAAGATCTATACCCAGCAAATCCTAGTGTGGTTATCAATGAAAGTTATAAACCATTTAGTCCCGTAACATTCTTTACACGGTTAGCTCCTCATAGATCACTGTTAACGAAAAATGTTGATATTGGATATAAGGCTTTAACAGGTATGGTACACGGGAATGTTTGGATAATTGGCAAATTTCACATTTCAAAAAGCTCACACTTTTATTACTTTTATTGTGAATTAACAAAGGAAGATGTTTCTTCAAATACAAGAAGTTTGGATGTCCTAGTCTACGGTGCCATAACATAATTGTGTCCTCTTTTGAAGTAGATAGAGCCAATCCTTCTTGTGTACTGTCTTTATTCCAAACATAAAGTCCATCATCAACTTTAGCAGTGTCAATTATCCTTCACGATTTCTGTTCCTGTACTACACAACCAATTACAGAAAATTCAGCAAGAAAATTTTCATCATTGGTAAGTTTACTGATTGAAAGTAAATTATAGGACAATTTTGGGACATGTAGGACTTTATCAAAGGAGAAATTTTCTACTAATTTAACTCTTCCAATTCCATCACCAGTGAGTAAGATCCATCAGCTATGCGGAAAATTATAGGATAATTTTGGGACTTGTAGGACTTTATCAGTGGAGAAATTTTTTGCTAATTTTACTCTTCCAATTCCATCCACCAGTAAAAGGATCCATCAGCTATGCAGATTCGGGATTGGTCATGACAAGGTGTATAAGTGTGAAATAAAGTGGGGTTGCCTGTCATGTGATCAGAAACACCCAAATCGAGTATACAAGAGGATTTGTTAGGTTCAAGGACAATGTTGAAGGCAATACCTTGGGTTGCTAGAGAACCACTAACCGTAGAAGTATCAAGAAACTTATGGAGTGTCTCAAGTTGGATTTTGATTAGGTGAACGTCGAGAGCATCATCTGCAGTAGTGGAGGTATGAGTGGACAACATTGCAGTCTTATGCTCTTTCTGGTTTTTTCCAGGATAGCCATGGATTTTGAAGCATTTTCCTTAGTATGTCCTACAAGGTTGCAGTAGCTACACCATGGTCTGGTTGAGCTCAAATCATTTTCAGCATGGGACCTTTGTGGTTGTGGGCCTCTAGAGATAATGGCTGAGTTTTTAGTAGAACGATAACCAACAGTTGTCACAGGTTTAGGTTCCTTTGAATTACCTATCATGACAAGTTGATGTTTCTCTTCTCTTCTAACTTCTGCAAATGCTTCACCAATAGTTGACAAGGGGTTCTACCCAGAATTCGGCCATAAACCTCATCTAGCTCTCAGTTCAGTCCTGCTAGAAACTTATAGAGACATTCATTGTCGAGATGAGTCATAAACTTGGTGTGTTCCACGCCTTCTCCCCATAGAAACGTAAGAGTGAATGAATAATGGCATAATATTTTCATTGATGTTAGGAGATAAAAATAAGCTTACACGAGAATCAATTTGTTATAACAAAAAGATTTCTATACTAAACTAATAACTAAAGAATAATAAGAATATATCAATATTGTTAGATATGAACTGAATATCCTATATTTTAGGAGAGTGAGATAAGTACAATTAAATATATTAATTTAATTCTCTATTATGCCCCCGCAAGTTGGAGCACCTTGAGGTGAGACCAATCTTGTTCAATAAATCATGAAAATGCGTGCGGGGTAATGGTTTGGTGAGTGCATCGGCAAGTTGATCCATTAAAGAGACATGAGTGACTCGTAAGATGCCATCTTGAATTTGTTCGCGAATGAAGTGAAAGTCAAGAGCCACATGTTTCATACGAGAATGGAAGACCGGATTGGAAGAGAGGTTTGTTGCACCCACATTATCACAATAGATTATCGGTTGTTGTGAGGATGCAAATCCAAGTTCACTAAGAAGAGATGTTATCCATCTCACCTCAGCAGCTGTTGATGCAACAGATCGATACTCGGCTTCAGTCAAGGAGCGAGCTACAGTTCGTTGCTTCTTCGAACTCTAGGATATCGGGTTGCATCCTATGTAGACAATATAAGCACTGGTGGAGGTGAAGTCATCTTTGTTGTGAGAGGAGAATACCGTGAGGGCGAGGAACAACTTCAACACCAATAAAGTAATGAAGAGTGCCGAGGTCTTTAAGCGAGAAGCGACGAGCAAGAACCGAGATGAAGTCCTAGACTGATGCTGCATTGTTACCTGTGATGATGATGTCGTCAACATAAACAAGTAATATGATAGTTATACCTTTGTCATTAAGAATGAACAAAGAGGTGTCGGCAACTGAGTTCAAGAAGTGAGATGCAAGTAGAAACTGGCGAAGTTCATTGTACCAAGCTCTAGGAGCTTGTTTGAGACCATATATTACCTTTCTCAATTTGCAGACATGGTTTGGATGGTCAGCATCAACAAAACCTTGAGGCTGGTTCATGAAGACATCTTCAGTGAGTGTGCATTGGAGAAAGGCATTGTTGACATCGAGTTGTCGAAGAACCCAACCTTGGCTGACAGCAAGTGAGAGGACAACACAAATTGTGGTTGGTTTTACAACTAGACTAAACGTGTCACGGTAATCCACTCCGGGTCGTTCGTGAAACCCCTTTGCCACTAGGCGAGCCTTGTACCTAGCAATAGAACCATCGGGTAAAAGTTTAAGTCTAAAAATCCATTTGCACCCCACAATATTTTGCACACCATTGAGAGGAACCAGTTCCCAAGTGCCATTTCGAACCAAGGCATCAAATTCCTCGGACATCACCTGTCGCCATCGACCATCTTTGAAAGCCTGAGTTGCACATGTGGGTTCAATTTCGAAGGCAAGTTGGGCTGAGAGGCTGAGTTTGGTGATTGGTTTGTGGATATTATTTCGAGAACGGGTGACGATAAGTGAGGTGCGGACGAAGGGTGGGAGTAATGAGATTTCTAAGACTTGATTAGGAACAAGTGGGGGTAAAGCCAAAGGGACAGGTGGAGACCTGCTAGGAGCAGGTGCAGGTATTGGGGTGGGTAGTAGGGGTGGTACGATGTTTGGAGAAGTAGGCGAAGTGTGAGGTGGGTCTGGAAAGAAAAGAGAGAGGGGTAGAGGCAAGTCTTGTTGATTTACCATATCCGTTTGTGTGTTGGAGTTGACTGGCAAAGAGCCACTGGAACTAACTTCGGATGATGTGTATGAAACCGAGAGAATAATATGTCGAGAAAG